GAAGGGCAACAAGGACGACTCCAAGAGTCAATCTTCGACAAAGGAGGTGGAGAAGGGCAACAAGGGCTCCAAGAGTAAATCTTCGACAAATGAGGTGGAGAAGGGCAACACAGACTCCAAGAGTCAACCTTCAACGCAGGATCGGGATCAAGGGCATCATATGGAGACACTGGATGGCCAGCAGGAGCACAAAGATGAGACTGAACCAGAACGCAAGAGGCAAAAAACAGAGATCAGAGATCAGCCTGGTTTCGTGGATGGAGTGCCAACCACACCTGACAAAGAAGGAGCAGAAGCAGAAGAAAAACCATTGGCTTCAGGCAGCCGCCCATCATTCGATGATGCACATGCAGCTGCACCACAGGCTGAGGCCACCATGGAACTGCAGGGGGATGAGACGCCACCTCATCAAGGGATTGAGAATCCCCACCACAACCACTTGTCTTGGTGGTGCGGACCTGTGGTACAGAGACAGGCGTGGGAACTTCAATGGTTGAAGGCCAGAATGAAGCCTCCGACCTTGAACAACGACCTCTTCAACTCGGGCTGTATTGGCTTCAAGACTTACGACACACCTCCTCCTTCTTTCATTGCCTCAACGCTTGGACAAGGAGTTCAGAAAAACGCTGTCTACATCAGGGTGCCGATGCCATATATCCCGATGACAGCTGGACCTCGGCCTCCTCTACCACCACCACCACCATTACCACCACCCAAAGAAGCACCACCGGACACACCATATCCATCGCCATCACCGCCACCATGGAACAGAAACGACGACACCAACAACACCGACAACCAGGAGGAGGATAGCCATCATCATGGAGGTGGTGTCATCTTTGAAAGTGTCTCTTGGAGAGGACCAGCAACATCTAACAACAATGAAGAACAATGGAGCACCGAAGACTGGTCACGCTGGAATCAAGGACCGTGGACCATTGAGGACTGGCAATCATGGAATGCAGGTCCATGGACTGGGAATGAATGGGAAACCTGGATGGCCGGTTACTATGGACAATGTGGACAATCCGGTAATCCAGAAGGTTCCCAAAAAGACAATGGTGAAGATGATGATGATGATGAGGAGGGTGGCTCTGATGATGCCATGAAACCCAAAAAAGGACATGTAGTGCCACCGCCCAAGTCCATGCCTCCACCACAGCCCAAGGCCATGCCTGTACCACCAAGGGTCAGCCCAGTGCATCCCGGAGCAGAAGCAGAAAAGGTTCCAGCCCCCCCGACGTGCCCACCACCTGGTCATGTCATTGCTCAGCAATTTGCTGAACAACGTGATGCCAATGATATGGAAGATGATGTCTATGAAGAGGTGCAAGTGCAGGATCCCTACACAGAACTCATGATGCGATTGGGTGGCAACCGAACTTCGCCGTCATGACAGCACAACATATGGCTTCGACGGTGGATGAAAAAAGTCTGTGAGTGCACTGCAAGTGTTGTTCTTATATTGCATATCATTAATATTCCCATATTACATATATATATATGTTTAAATATATATATATATACATATACACCCCGTAAAATAATATGAACCAACTGTATAAGTGATAAACAATCATTCAGGTTCCAGGGTTCCGAACCATGCAGTCTGCATCCTCATCAATGAGCCACTCTTGCCCCACCTGAGGTAGAACAGCCGGGCTCGAGTTTGCTGGCTGTTATCCCCTATGTCCAGCACATCATTGCGGCGATGGGGGATGGACCCGGACGAGCTCGTTTCCGAAGATTGTGTTTTGATTTAATTTAGCACTATCAAGTTGTCTGCCATGAATGCAAAACCTTTGAACTCAAACTTCAATTCTAGTTAGTGCTGCTGTTCTGCGCTGATCTGTGTGTTGGTGTTGCTTTGTGTAACAGTTTAACCATCCCGGACAACCAAGTTGGATGGGCTTGTATGGACACCAGAGTCCTAAACCTTCGTGGCTACTGGGAAGCCCGTTGGATGCTCAATATATGCGCATATTGATTAATGTCAAGGTACTGCTGCAATTGGATCATGGTCTGGACACTAACAGGGATTGGATTGAACTAAACCAGCCTGCGGCCTGCTCATTTGCTCTGAGGAAATGGATTGACAACCTTGAATCCAAGATGTCAAAGGACTTAAAGGATGCCCTACCTTGCTATGCTGGTGATAGCACTGTGAAAATGGTCAACAAGTACATCGATAGATCAGGCAACAACAGAGTGTGGGGGGCTTAGGTGATTGGATTTTGAAGATATTATCACTGGTTTCTTTTCGATTTCATAGTGACTCACAGTGCCCACACTGTATGTTTCTTCTTCCCCTTGTACCCAGGAGTGGTGGGCCATCTCTTCGACGATCAGCTGAATATCCCCAACTATTTGCTGAGTGGATTGCCAGCCGTCATATTGAATATATGGCAACCTGGCAGTTGGAATTATGATTTACGTCATACAGTAATATATTATATAATAATATTTAATAATATATATATATATAACTTACAATCTAATTATAAATTATAATAATATGTATATATATATATACAGTACTATATATCTTATTAATATATATATATATATATATATATTATAAAATAATATATAATATGTGTACGTATAACTTAACTATAATAATATACCAAAAAATGTATATTGAATGTCAACACACATATATATATATATATGTATGTATGTTCAGCGGTATATATATATATGTATATATTACTATATATATAATATAAATAAATATATATATATATTATATATATATATTCTTAAATGCATTTCATGAGAATCAGCATCTTGTTGATGTCCAGGTGGCCACATAGTTCAAATTGCACCAACTGCTGGCACAGTTTGCCGAGCTTCTGGGTGGTGCTGTAGTGTGCAGCACAATCATAGCATGTGTCAGCAATTATTGCCAGAGTTCCTTGATGATGCAGTGCCCCAAGAAGTTTCTCCAAGGACCGTGGTGTTCTACCTGAACTCGATATGCCGATATCAGCTGCTGATCTTGCATCCATGAGTCCACTGGTATCCTGGTTCAATTAGATTCAAGTCACAACATGCCTACATGTTAGCTATTTATTGCACAAACATGATCATCGAGTTGATTGTGTGCCAGCATATTTATGGACGTATTGTCTTAACATTGGCATTCGTGTTGTTGCTCAGGTGCCACCTTTTGATTGGAAACATGCAGAACTTGGTGAGCTGAGGGACTTCTTAAAACAAGAAGCTGCAGCTGGTCGCTTTGTACCTTCCAATAATTTACCTTTGTGATGCATGCATCATTTCTCAAATTTGTAATTAAATCTCCAGATGCCGGGAGGTGATTGGAAATTATATATTAACCTAATTAGGTGTTTGAAAGTGCGATATATGCTACATGCTGTCTCCCATTTGCCACTTCTGGGGTTCCTGACATGCCAGAAACATATGGCTGCCACCAATAGGCCTTCACAGGATGGCCGTGATGCCGCGTGATTTCGCGTGATTTTGCGTGAAAAACAGGAGGGTTCACATGTGAATGTAGCTCCTGGGGACCTACATTTCTATGAATGTAGGCCCCAGGAACTGACATTCACGAACAAAACTCACATGTGAAAACAATCAGCGTGATTTCGCGTGATTTTGCGTGATTTCCCAAACTGCCTATAGGTTTTCAGGCTCCAGGTCATTAAACTGATCAGAAAAAACCTTGGACTTGCTAGTTTAGCCATGAGTCAAGACTCGCTGGACACTGATATGCAAGCAGATACTCGGCCTAATTGCTTTTATGATTTGAATTCCCTTAGGCAACAACCCCAATCAGTTTCAGCAGTGCCAGATTACTCATGTTGTCTAAACGTCTTTTGATAGTTTTCTTAAACATTACTTAATGTGACACCATGACAGCTAACTGGCACAACAACTTAGGCAATGGACAACGCACTGGAAGCTGGAACAAGGAGACGGGCATTGGCACTATTGGCAACACCGCCACCTATGGCTTCGAAGCGACCATTGAAGAAGAGTCCCAACCCTGGTTCTGTGAGCACAGTGACCCCTGATCCCAAGCGGCACATGTCTGTGACTACACCCTCAACTGTTTCTGGTTCAGAGACAACACCAGTTGCCCCAGTTGAGCCAGTTGAACCAGTTCAGCCAGTTCAGCCAGTTCAGCCAGTTGAGCCAGTTGACTTGTTTGGAGATGTTGGGACACCTTCTGCTGAACCTAATGCTGTGGTGACTGCCGATACCCACATGGACGAGTCCCCAGGCCAGGTAGCAACACAATACATGTAACAACACAACCCACTGCCACAGGGGTTTCCTTGACCTAGCCCTAGACAAGCCAATCATATGCTGGGGCAGGTGGACCGCTTACTGTGGCCTTGGAAGATGCAGAGACACTACCAAATGAAGCTGTCCCTGAACCCTTAGCTGCTCCTTGGTCAACTATATATAACTACTTCAATTATATAATATAACATATCATATATATATGCATATATTGAAAATAATGCTATATATATATACTCAACATATAGCCCTTAGACAATACATGCAGTGATAATTGTGGTCGATGTGTGTTGCTGCTACTCCAAGAAACTACAATCTGATAGCAAGCGGGGTACATTATATTAATGACCAACATGCTGCTTCGAGGCTATGCCCCCTCCAGAGCTGCCGCCTCTGCCAGCGATGCCCTCGAAGGTTGTTCCAATGCCTGCATTGGCCTGCCCACCGAATGCATCTTGGCCAAACTACTTGTTTCTTTCGATAAAATTGGTATATACCTGGGAGAGAATTAACAGTACATGAATATAATGGGGGTTATACCGAACTATATAGCCACCCAGTGATCATGTTTGGTTTTGTATATATTGAATACAAAGCTGCTGTTGTGAATTTTCATAGGTTTCTTTTTTGTGTCAAGTCAACCTTTGCCATCGCAATCAGCATTGTACTCACACAGTTCTTGAAGGTTTGATGCTAGGGAGTGTTTCTTTCTTACATTCAGCCTTCAGGTTCATGATGCGATGATGCAATTGGCGCAGAACCCGGTGTTCCTGGCAAACCCAGCATGCCTGGGTGACTTTATGGAGAATCTTGTCAAGTCACAGCAGGGCCATTCACCAGCTTCCCCACCACCAGCCAGTGAATCTTGCAAACGGCCTCTTGTGGATGGCTCTGACTCAACCCAGAAGGATTTAGAGAATGTGGGTGCCTGCCTACCGGAACTTTTGGTCCAAATTCAAACGGCCTGTGACGCCTGTACCTGCTGCTCCAGCAGGTGGCAGTGGGGCGTTGGTTGCTGATGGTGCTGCAGAAGTTGCTGCTGCAGAATCTGTTGAAGCACATGCCCATCATGTTGGCCTTGCTGATGTGGAAGAAGGCACTGATGCTACAGGACCCACTCAGACATCAGCTGCCGAAGAAGCTTTGTTTGCTGGCATTGCTGAGGAACCTGACAGACTTCCAGACGAGTCCGAGCCTGTTGACAAGGTTGATGAACCTGTCCCTGTGGATGGACCCAATGCTGAGAAGGACGTGGAAAATGTTGGTGGATCAAACAGCGATGCTGCTTCTGAAGCGAGTAGTGATGGCAAAAGGATGAAATCTTTTGTGCCCCAGGCGTCTGATGTTCATGCCTGCCTTCTGCGCAAGACAACCTTGGATTTGAACCGTAGCATTGCTCCCCAGGAAATGCCTGGACACACCTCTGTTGTGATGGAGTTGGCTGGTGTTCTTCAAGATGTTTGGATCCCCATGGCACCAGATGCTGCAGTGAAGGCTGGCTTGACACTTAGCCCATCAGTCAAGCTGGTCACTCCGTCTACCTCCAGTGTTGTTTCTACAGCCAGTTCGAAGCCAGCAAGAGAGCCTTCGGCACATGCTGCAGCAGCAATTGACCTCACTGTTGATGCTGCAGGGAATGTTGAAGTCAAGCCTTTGGTGCCAACACCACCAGCTTTGGAGAGCCCTGCGCCAGCAACAGAAGTTGCAACCTCGACTTCCGTGGCCCATGCCTCACCTGCATTGCCTGGTCCTGGAGATGGTGGTCAGTCTTCGGAGAGCCCAGCTTCTGATGATGCAGAAGCAAAGGCTTCTTTACGGAACAGCTACATGCGATTTCACAGATCGGTGACCAGCACCTCGATATCAATAGTTTGTTCTTTGTTGCTGCCATCGCAACTTTGTTCACAGATATGTTGTCAGCATGGCTTTGGTAAATTCGCAATCTGAGGCGAGAAGTGTCCACCTGAGATTTCAAGCAAATGGAAGGAGATCAAGGCCAAAGGTGCCTTGAATAAATTGGTTGTACTTCCAGAACAAACATGGTTCTACATCAGCAGCTGCTCATGCTGCACAGTTTCCTTGTGGTTTTGCTTTCATGTATTGACCATGAGGTGGCAAAGCGAGCCACCAAGAACGATGGCAGCTGTTTGAAGAATTTTGTCAATGCAATGAAAACTGGAGTGCCAGCACACTGCTGGCCAGTCTTCGTGCGGAGAGAGATCATGAACGCAGAGGTGAGTATGCACTGATGTCTCGTGACGCAGCTTGATTGCACTGCAGAAGTTAATAATACAAGTCACTAGTTGGTCACAGTGTTGTGGTGCATGTGTTGTGTTCTATTTGTGTTGCTTGTTTGAATGCTGATTACTATCAGTTTGGGGAATAACTATATATATATATGTATTGCTTGTTAACATACAGCCGACATGAACTGGATAATATTGAGGAAAGAAACTGTGTTCTGAGGACCTTCTGAAGAAGTACCATCAGAATTTGGCCTTGGTCGATGGAATCATTAGCTCCAAGGACAAAGGGAAACCACGACAGACCACAGGGGTGGGTTCAGAGTATGCTTTTCAATATATATAGATATATTACACTAGCTAGTAGTACTACATATATATTGTATATATCATTCATATATATATATTATATATATATAGATATAGAAAAAAAAATATATATATAGATCTATTACACCACTTGATTTGCTGCAGGAAAAGGATGGACAATGGCAGATGAACCCTGATGCCCCGGTGCCCATCTCAGCTGTCTTGCAGTGAAACCATGGTCAAAATACATGTTAATGTCACCAAACATATGATCGATGGTATATATATATCATACCTTGCACTGAGCTGATCAGGAGCTGAAAATGTATCTGTGCTGGAACTCTACGTCTGAAACATCAGCGACAAGGGTGACCCAATCTGTTGAGATTGCGAAGGAAGCCGCTATCGACAACGCACATGCTGGCAGCATGATGTTCATATCTCAGTTTTACCACAGCATCACTAGCAAGACAGCATAAGCATCACAAAATATTATAGGCCTGAAACTATGTAATTAATTCTCGTCTCTCAACATTTCCCCATACATTGTGTTGATTTTAATGCATTGCTCAGGACAAATCCGTTGAATGTTGTGCCCAACTCGTTCCAGACGCCCACCCTTCTTGATCCAGCGGCGCCTAGTGGATCTGGCAACACAAATCGACCGCAGACACCAACCCCCAAGCCCAAGCCAAACGCAGGGAACAGAGATGCTGAATCGAAAAGGCCACCGAAGGCAAAGACGGCAGAACAGCAAGCCAAAGGAGTTACTTGGGATCATGTTAATGCTGGGTGTGGAGAACAGTTGCGACACAGGAATTACAGATGTGATTTCAAACATACCACTGCTCGAAGCATCTGAGGCTATGCAGCAAGCGTCTGCCATGATTCTCGAAGGAAAAAGCTTCTTGGAAGAATTAGAGTCATACCTACCTGCATCATTGTATACATGTATTGATATTGATATGTGGAGGGCTGGCATGAATGAATGATAAACATATATATGAATATATTCATATAATCTGCGTCATCCAAGGTTGGGCCCCAGTGCTCACCAAAGCTGGTGTGTCTGGGTCTGAGGGCCCCTGCATGCTCATGTTGATATATGATTCACATTCGCCAGCCACCGAAAGATGAACTGGCCTAGGCCGGAAGCTATGAAGACTGCAGCTTTGTCCGATGTTGAGACCCACGTTAAGAAACTTGAGGGTGAACGTAGCAAATTGGAGGCATGGGACAACCTGAT